TGCCTCGCTGTACAGGCAACACAGGTCATTGAAAGAGGGCCAATTGAGCACGAAAAGTTGTTTTGGGGTAGTGTTAGGGCGCATTTTTAACCTAATAGTTGAGCCTATTACGTGTCACTGTTCTGTAGCTGCGGTCATTATCACGATTACGCCTCCTGTCTATGTTTCGTTGTAGTAGCGTCGGAGGAATTTAAAAGAAAAAAACAACAAATAAACAAATTATAGCTACACAAAACAACGATAAATTCACAAATTTAAGTTACAATCATAACACGATCTGTCATAGCGAAACAAAACAGCGATAAATACACAAATTTAAGATACAAACATCATGATCCATCTTGGGGGTTATGTTTACACAAACTCAAATAGTAAATAAATCAGCGAGCACATAAATGTACTCAATGCGTTTCATTGAATTGAAAAATAAACAACAGCAGTTAAATTATACAGCTGATCAAAATGTAAACAATTATGTTCTTCATAAGGATAACATGGGAACCTTCAAAGCCACTGGGGAAGAGCCCAAGGACTTTTTCAAAAATGTAAGGCGTTTGCAAATCTCCGCGACACGCTCTTTCCAATGAGACGTCACTGGATAAAATCGGCTAAGAAATGGCGGAGGAGTTCAACCGACAAAGTTTCATGTAGCGTATTAATTATATAGATGTAGCATTCTTCTGTAAATTGTTTCTATTTTAAACTGCAACATACATCCTTTTCCCCTGGGCATATTTATTACAATAGTTTTAACTTGGCTGGCTTACGAATTCATTGAAATAAATTTAATTCGTGCTAAATTAATAAACTTCATACAACTCCTACAATTACAATTTCTCAATTGGTTTATTCAGTTACAATTTGTAACATGTGGGTAATAAAGGTGAAATAAAAAATAAATAACATGGGCTTAAACATTATTTTTGATTCACGCTAGTGATCTATGGTTATTTCCCCTATCCTTTGACTATTCAATAGTCAATACACTAATTATATGACATGCTAAAACACTAAACATAAAGTTTTTTTGTCGTCCAACCGTGACATGAAGTTTTTACAATAGTTTTGTCTTTTCCGTTCAATTTTCTATCTAGATAATGTTTTGAGGTAACACGAGTTCCCTCTGTTGGAAATTGCAACAACTACGGGCAACACTAGCGCTAGAGTGTATAAGAACGGAACTGTAGTCGGTAATGTAGATTGCTCAATCTGTACAAGGCAACGATTTGTACTACAGTATCTCCGAGCTCTGCAGAATAAACACACTAGTTAGGGAAAATGTAAATAACATTTTAAAAACCACCGAGACGTTAAAACAGAATGAGCCGCAAGGGAGTACATATCCAAGAAAAATTTAATTATGAAATATTTAAAAATTATTTAACCAAACGATTTATTTAATTTTAAGTTTCAAGTCAGTACAACATTTCATAAAATGTAAAGTACACATAAATTTAATTATTTTTATTATTCTTTGAACCTTACAAATAATAGGAATTTTCAGTATTTTACGGACGTCAACACGATTTGTGCTTAAAATGAACAAATGAAATCACAAAAATCCTAACAATCGTTATTGGCTAGGAACACATTTTTGAAAACGTAGTAATGTTAGCGCGGGACTTCTGACATTGCGGCTCGGGTTCGAATACCCCAATCACCAATGTATTCTAGCTGAGCGATTACGTCTTGGTTCGATGGTAAGGGTACAACGTTAACATGCATGTTTATACATCCACAAAACGTGTTATAATACATTAGGAAAACTTTGTTCATATTAAAGAGTTCCGTTCTTAATCTTTTACTAAAAGTACGATGGTAAAAATACTTAACTAATTTTATGCGGGGTGAATGACATCGCTGTTTCAAATGGATTTCAAGATTCGAATGCTGTCTTATCTAGAGGGATTTGTCACTTCTGAGATTCTGTTTATCTAAATATCATTTGTCATACTTCAGAAACAACTGAGTAGTATATCTGCGTGTAATTAAAATGTTGATACAGTGCACTGTGCTGCTGTCAACGGCTGGTCTGAACAACATGTATCAGCCTTTGTTGACTAAGCTTTCCAAGTACCAGTACAGCAGACGTGTCAGAAAACGCGCGCTAGGGGAAATAGACTACGGACACCATTGACTGGTTGCATAAAGTTTACAAGGTATACAGCTACTGTACATCACTCACAAACACGCCTGCCTTTGCTAATCTGTTGATGTCTTGCATACTGGATAGGCCTTTGCATTGACAAAAGACACGCTCGACACGCTGACACAAGAAACCCTACCAAGGACGAGATGTAGGACATTTTATATTTAATTTGGATAGTGCGAGTAAACACCATATTTTGCAAAGGACGTAAAATGTATTTGTTTTGCTATGAAAAATAGAAGGAAAACACACATGAGGTTTATTTATTTTTGTGTTTTAAATTAAACCATTTCAACTCATAGCGGGTTCCGAATCACCCGAGGTTAAAACCACTCTCCCAAGACAAAGTAAAAAGTGGCGTACACAATTCTTATTCTTATCCTTCTATTTTTCAAACTACGTGAATAGGCCTACTAGAAAAATTACCAGTATCTACAAATCTACCCGTAAATAATTTTCCAATATTGCTCGTATAAATTACATAAAATGTTTTAGCATTAGTTTTATTTACTGTTATGTTTACTGTCTGACATGTCTTAATAAACGATAAACAAATTGTATTGTATTGAAAAAGTAACCATATCAGTGACCAAATACTGTAACTTCAAAGCAGGTCCATAATGTTGGCCCCCATACGATGTAGCGAAACCAAGACACAATGGAATACAAAGTAGGCCTATTTATAAAGTCAAAATGGAAAACTAACAGCTTGCTAACCATATTGACATTACACAAGCAAACAAACAAGTAATATATTTAAGTAGGAGTTAAGTGATTAAGTCAAGTAATTATCAATTCAAATAATCTCGCCATCTCACTCGCCAATTTTGGTGTAGTGAGTGGGATCGAAGTGGATGGCGCGTGCACTCTTGATTTGGCTTGTCGAACTTACGAAGTTTTGTTGACTAGCCTATTTCATTCGATTTATCTGAGCAGTATATCATTCTTAAACTATCGATAGTTGATTACTCGCAATATGGGCTACACATTTGATAACTGTTGTAATAATATGCAGATGTTAGACTTAACATCTGTTTGTTTACTTTTCTACATTTTTATTTTTATTGTTCATTTATTGTAATTTTATCTTAGTTAAATAATATACTTTTTTCATAAAGGAAAAAGGTACATTATTTAACTGAGATAAAATTACAATAAAAATGTAAACATAGAAAAGTAAACAAACATGGCGCAGTCTTCTAATGAACCTAATGATCCCCTAATGTGACTCATGAAGCTGTAATCCCCCAAATGTGAAACCGCCTGAACCTTTTCCCTTCAACCCAAGTGAATGGGAACATTTTGAAATGTACCATTCTTTGAGCAGACTTAAAGAAGCCAATGGAAAACAGCAGGAAGATATGCTAATTTACTGCATGGGGGAAAAGGAAGAGCAAATACTTGATTAATCAGATTAATTTAAACTAAAAGAATCAGATGTAAACAATTATGATGTTGTTTTGAACAATGAATGAACAATGAAAATATAAACATAGAAAAGTAAACAATTCAATAATTCTAACATATGCATATTATTACAACAATAACAAATTGGTTGTTGTTGAAAGTGATAACGCAAGGAAAATCAGACACTGTAAGGAAAGTTATAAGGAATACGGAAATTCATGTACATTTAATGCCAACAGGTATGTGTGCAAAGAGTTAAGCAGTTTTCCGTGTATCACTTTAAAAGGAAATTATGACTTTTCAAAGTATTTTGGGGAAGTGACCAATGTGAACAATCGAATTGTTGTTTCCAATAATGTTAATAATTGTTTCCAATAAAAAAACGAATCTACATGGTCTTTTCGTATAGAAGTGTATTACTAGCACAGAACCAGTACCAATTAAAGTAATTAAATATTCCTTTTAAATAACTCTACTCATTCAAATTCTACACAACAAACATTACAAAAATGTCATGAATGAATTTTTAATTATTAGTACCGTAAGGTATTAAAATAAAATACCCCCGCCGCAGCAAACCTGCAGACTAATTGAATTTCCATTTGCTTGATTCGATTTACACTAAAATGTCTCTTTAAAAATATCAAATTCATTCCCTTTTTAAATAACATTAGTTTAACTTAGGTTCTTACTTAGGTTTGCTGCAACAGGGAGGGTAAAAAGGTGTGTTTTTCTGTAAAATGTTAATAGTTTAGTATGAAATTAATGCATTTTCAAAATGTTATCAAAATATGACCATAAACAAGCAGACTACAACAGTTTACTTATTCTCCATAAGAATAACATGGGAATTTTAAATTAACAGTTATTGGAATTTTCCCCGTAACCATTAGGCGCATAATAACGCTTCAATACACTCAATTATTTGTTTTTTTTAATCTCTACAAAATGGTTCGGAAAGAAATTTTTAGTTTTTAGGGTAAAAAATGGGAAAAATGATTTTTGCTCGAGTTATCGTGCTAACGGACACATATAAATAAATAATTATATATATATATATATGAATGTGAACGGATGGTGTTTTTGGTCTCTTGGGACCTCAAAACGAAAAATTAAATCGGTCCCGGGTCCAGGTCTTACCATGAGTACTACGGTAATAGCTTATTCCATGGGAAATTCGCTAAAAATGATTTGAAAACTCTTCACACTATGTGTAGGGGAAGAATGTAAAACACGAGAAAAAATTAAATGTCGCGAAAGATTCATTCGAATGAGTCTTATCGCAGGTAAAGTCGAAAGTCGACCTATCGCAGTCGAGTCATCGCCAGACGCCAGCGACAGCCCGCCAGCTGATTTCCTTATCTTCTGCTGTCTCAGTCAGTTGTTGTAGTGCGTCGTCGTCGTTTACTGATAACCGTGACAGGTTGACTACTAAAGTTCGTGTGCTGTTGTTGTCATTCTCAATGTAACAGTGCAAGAGAAGAGATAGGACATTAGTTTGTTAAACATTGTTCGGTGCCTGCCTGTTGTCAGGTTGTCACCTAGTTAGGCGCCGGTGCAATTTATATCATTCAGTTGTGGTTGTGATCATTTAATAATGTGGGCCCCCTTGTTGTTGTTGTGTCTTTGTTCGGGAATAGCCTCGCAAAATCTTGACCACCGATTCTTTTTGATGCAAATCATAGAGAAATATGGGCAGAACGGGAGTATAACCTATGAGGTAAGACTAGTTTTGGTTTAGTTGTGTTGTGTTTGAATTAGTTTGTTTTTTACTTATGTTTATTATTCTTACTGCATGCTCTGCATTTTTCTAAAATATTGTTTTTTTTGGTTTGTGGGATTTTACATATTTTGTAAGACATTTATTTAAATATGCATAATCTGTGTTGGTTATGAAGTTGACCATGAAAATAAAGAAGTCAACATCAATCATCACATACTTAGGTAAGTTAATCCCACTAAATGTGGATTATGATGATTTATGTCAGTTTGAGGATTAAGATTACTGTACTTGGATAAGCTCTGTTAGATACATGACATTATTTATCTTATTTTTTACAACACTTATTTCGGCATAAACGGTTAGAATCTGATCTTGCAGGAGAAGTCTTCGTAATTTCCAATTTTTCTGTTGTTTCTCCAAGATTGATAGACAGTGTTCCAGAAACATTGTTTTGGAATTTCAGAGATTTGATTTTTTCAACGGAGGTAGAAATATAAAATACTCTAACTTACTCCTAGCTCTTGTCTTGGTTTAGGGGATGTCTAACTTTTATTATTTATTTTTAACCCTTACATACTTAGTATAAAAATAAAAAAATACCTAGTATCAGTGAAGAATACTATAATTTAATAAAATTGTCATGCAATTTCATATATTCGTTCCTAGTAAGTTAGCTTTACTTTTGTAGTACCGTTAGCTACAAGTTTATGTTGAAAATTCAAAATGTCCAGCTGCTTTTATTTGCATTTCCACTTTAGCCAAACCAAAATGGTTTAAAATAAATTGCAACTGGGTGCATTAAACCCAAATATAAGTGAAAAATTTGATGTTAAAGTAGATTAGGTACGGTAACTCCATTTTCTATAATCTATAATTCTATAAGGTACATAACGAGACTAGACTTAGTACAAATAGAGATTAGGTAGGCTACATGCTACAACTAGTCGTAGATACGACTTGAAGCAGTTATGTATGAGATACAACTTGTCGCTATAACACCCGTCAAGTTTTATTTGCAGATTTTAAGAGAGATAACTAGACGTAGATACATCTAGTCGTCTAGATACAACTACCAGTAGTCTTGAATACGACTTGATACAGACGTATAAGATACAACTTGATGCTAGCATACCTGTCGATTTGTCTGCAGGTTTTGAAGAGAGACAACTAGATGTAGATACGATTTGACATAGGCGTATGAGATACAACTTGTCGCTACGCTAGCGGACTTGTCAAGTTGTATATACAGATTTTTAAGAGAGACAGCTAGAAGGGTACGCCATTGTCAAGTTTTATCATAAGAATTTGGATGAGATACATCTATATGACGACCCTCACAGATGTCCTTACTTATCTTTAACTAAAAAATACCCCCAGCCGCAGCAAGCCTGCAGACTAAGGGAATTCCATTTACCTCGTTGGTTTCACAAGGTTATTCCCCTAATAGTCAGATTTATTTCCTACTAGCTGTAACCCGCGGGCTTTGCCCCGTTTAACTTCTTAATTTTCAAGATTATCTCGTTCGCATGGCTCAATCACGTCCTGGTTGAAGTTTGTTCGCTACGCTCACTCACCTTTAGGTTGGAGCTCGTTCGCTACGCTCATTGCCTTCAGGTTAGCTCGTTCGCTAAGCTCACTTGCCTTCAGGTTAGCTCGTTCGCTACGCTAACTCACCTCCAGGTTGAAGTTCGTTCGCTACGCTCACTCACCTTTTGGTTGCAAATTAGCTGTTGTCATAAATGCAAAAGAAATAATAGTGCTGCACCCTGTTGGTAATCCTTGTAACTTGAATGCTATTGAACATCATAGAACAGAACCAACTTGTTTAATTGAAACAGCTGTTAAGATTCAATAATTCCATTTCTCATAAGGTTAACATGGGAAACTCCAGAGCCACTGGGGCGGAGCCCTAAAGGATTTTTGAAATAAGAATATGCCTATATGTTAATTGGGGATGTGAGCTATCATCATGCCAAATTTCAGCCCAATCCGACCAGTATTTTTCGCGTTCACTTGTCACAAACATACATCCATACATCCATACATCCAAACTTTCTCATTTATAATATTAGTAGGATATTTAAATAACATTGATTTTTATGAGTTCTTAGGTTTGCTGCTACAGGGAAGGTAATTAGGGTAGGTGACTTTTTTAAAGAAATGTTTATGGCAAATGTGAGTAACAAATTTGCCAAATTACATCAAACTATTCCCATAAACATGCTATCTACAACAATTTATCTATTCTCCATAGGAGAATTTTACAGTTCTTTAAATTTCCCCCCTAGTTGTTAGACATACAACAACACTTCATAGTATTCAAAATGATTTTCCTACAGTTACCTAACAATGTACATGTTCTCTCACTGATTTGAGAAAGCAAAGTGGCCAATTCGCTCATCAGTGAGACAATGTTAACATTGTCTCACTCTAATTACTTTGTCTCACTCCAGATTTGCATCGTGAAGGCACGAAATAGTGAGCGCGTAACATGCAGTCAACGTCGTATGCGCGCGAAATACGTTGGCAGCACTGGCTGTAAATCAGCTGGTCAGCTGTTGTACTGTTGTATTTGTCACTTCGCATTAAATGTTATGTTAAAAGTTCACTTCTGTGTAAAAATAGGTTATGTTTCTTCACCAATTTATTTGTTTTATGGTAACTGTAGGAAAAGTATAATGTGCAACTCGAGTTCAAAGTACAATTGCCTCACTCGAGAAACCATTCCTCACTCGCCTACGGCTCGTGAGTAAGGATTTCTCTCGAGTGAGTCAATTGCTCACTTTTCTCACTAGTTGCACAAATAACTATTGTTTTGAAGCTCTACAAAATGGCTTAGGAACAAAAAGCCAAATTTGATAAAACTCTCTTCCCATAGTCCGATCATGCTGGTTAATTAATTTGTTGAAATAGCCAAAAATAGGTTTATATGTTTGTACCAAATTTCATCACAATTGGATGATTTTTACTCGAGTTATCGTGATAACAGACATGTAAGAATACAAACGAATGGTGTTCTTGGCCTCTGGGGACATCAAAACGAAAACGAAAATCGGTCTCAGGTCTAGACCATTAGACATATGGTAGTAGTTTATAACTTTTTTGGGAAATTTGATAAATCAAACATATACTGTAGGTAATTAACATTCTTATAGGCCTAACTTTACATTGACCCTACTTAATGTAAGATTCTAATAAACCTTATTAAAACTTTCTTTGCAAAATTTACAATCTTATCCAATTAGCCATAGGTAAGTTGATAGTTTGTACCATGAATCACAATTAATTTGTTTTGTGTTGGGTTGGTTGATAAGATAAATTAAATTGATTATCTAGGTAACTAGTTGCCCTGATATTGATATTACGTTTGACTCACCTCAAAACAATGCAAGACCACCAGATTATCAACTCAAAGTAGCTGATACATGAATAGTTGTAAGGTGACTCTCTGCATAACAAAGCGTGCCACACCCATTTTTGAGGAAGTGTTGAATGCTAAAATTATTTAACCTGCTGCATTTCAACTGGTTATTTAGCTGAGATATTATAATACTCACTTAACAATCTACTACTAGTTACTCTCAGTTGGTAGCTTTTTGTAATTTTGAAACTGGATCCATTTGTTCCATTGTTGGCTTGACTTATTTCTTGTCGCTCCTTTATAGCGAGAGCATTAGGGAATCCAGAAGAGCTTGCCATTCATCCCTGTCCTGCGCCAGATTCCTCAGCTGACCCCAGGTCTTCCCGACACTCCTAGGCTTCCAACAAAAAAATACCTTTATTGGTCTTCTTCAGATGTCACAAGGTCTTCCCCTCTTTCTCGTACCTTGGGGATTCCATTCCAGGGCCTTCTTTTGAATTGCTTAGTCCGACTTCCAAAGACTGAGGCCTAGCCACCTCCACATCTGTCTTCTGATTTCCAGGCTGATCTTTTGTTGCCCCTTTGCCTCCCAAAGCTATTCATTAGAAATAGTATTTGGCTGAACACTCTTAGAAGGACATGCTTGACATTTGTGTTATAGATGTGGATTTTGGTTTTCATTGAAATATTTATATTTCGCCATATTCAGTAACGCTGAATAAATGCTGCATTAGTTCTCCCAATGCGGCTCCTAACATCTTCCTTGGCTCCTCTCTCCGTCTGCTGTGACTTTCCTCCCGAGGTATTGGAAAGATTCAACCTCTTCATTCACCTTCCCGCTTAATTATAAGGCTTGGGCTACTCTGGAATTTAACCTCATTTCCTTTGTCTTGTTCACATTTATCTTGAGACCCACCTCTTCAGCCTCTCTTTGTAGAGAACTTAGTTTCACCTGAATATTGGTATACCTCTGAGCAATCCAGCAAAGGTCGTCAGCAAAGTCAAGGTGCCGGTACCCAGCTGCTCCCTCAGTCCCCACTGAACTTCCTAATGTTTGGCTTTGGAGGAAAACTTATCCTGGTTTAAGAAACTCAGCTTAGCTCAGTCGGTAAAACGTATCTCCACAAGTCATCACATTTCATTTTACCTCAAGATTAAAAATAATCCAAGCTACTGATTCATTATCCTCAGACCAGCTTTAGACAGTTTTAAAGTCAGTTCCGTGAGGTTCATAATATTGGGCGTATGATTATGAACTAATGTGGTTGATCTTCAAAGTCTGCTATTACATAGCAGTCTTATCTAGTTGAAAATAACATAAATCATACCTAGGTTTCCTTCTTTTCAGGAAACTAAAATGTGACGTTCTAATGACTTGTCTGACCATCAAGAGTATATAATTTTTACACTCTTTCCTGGTTAATATTTTGTACGGTAACTATCCTAAATTAAATTTTCTGGAGATAATATAAAAGAAATTTAAACAAGCTTGTTATAAATTTATAAGTTTAATTTCTGTCTTAGTATATGTTAATTATGTTGAACCATATTTACCTGTTAAAACTTCACACAATTTTAGAACCTAGTAGTTAACTTCATCCTCAAAATTCCTCACACGAACTTGATGAAATAGATTTTTACAGTTGAGCTTGTTTCCGTAATAAATTGTCGGAGTGTTATTATTTCAAACAGTTAAGTTTAAAAGAACCACATTATTCTTTTCTGCGTCTTCCATTTGTCAAAAATAAACATGTTTACTGCCACAGGACGGGTGGAAAATCGCTTCTCAGACCCACATGAAACTCACTCACTTCATGAGACATGCACTCTGCGTTCCACACTCTACTTTATGCCTGAAACCCAGCTTTGGTTAAATTAGTTTACTCTGCATAAAAAAACTATTAAAAATGAAAGAATCTAAGCTACAGAATCTATGTATGTTTGTATTAGTAGGTATTATTAAAGTATTTTTGTAATTTTTGTCAAGGTTAACGTTTTAGAATTGTCATGATCTAGCAATACAATTATTTTATTAACATTTCTAGTACCGGTATTTGTAGTAATTTAAGTCAAAGTTGTACTATGAACCCAATCAATTGTAGATAACAGTTCTCTACCTGTCACAAGTGGAAGTGGTTCTGACAGTTCTGTGAAAAGTCAAGTGCTTCCTGGTTTAAAGTACTAAGTACTGTACAGAGGAAACCAAAACATAAACATTGGTAGTATTTAACTCATTACTGAGTTGTAACCAATTATCTTTACACCTTGTTTTCTGCACTTAACCCGTGACATGAGTTGTTGCAATATCCACAAGACAATGAAAAAGGTTTCCTTAAGATAAGTGAGAATTATTGTGAGTTCATTGCAACTTTTGCTAACTAGTTCTGTACCTACATATTTCCCTTTACATGTTTACATTGTTTGTTCTTCATTTTGTTATCCAGTATGCTAAAATCCACATAACAAGCATTCAAAATACACACAGAAATCAGCTACAGTGTGACAATAGATGAAAACTCTAGCAACCTAATTACTTTTCCAGTTACAGTCCTTGACTACATGGATAGGTACACCATGAACTAAACATTTTTTGCTACCTGAGGTTCAATAACTTGAATTACATTAGATTACCTTTGTTGTTGATGCCTGTGCTCTTGAGTAGGTAAGATGTTTGTGTCACCCTGTGCATTTCACCAGCTTGTGTGGCATCTTCAGGGGTCGGTCTTCTTAAGTTATAAATTGTGACTGTGTGTATAAATTATTTATTGATTTCATGGTGATATTAACCCCCCAGCCCCACACACCCGGTGCCCCCCCCCTCAGAATGTAGGTATAGGACTCCCTTGCTGTGCAGCTATTTGTGTGAATACTCAACATTATAAAATCCTACTCATTTGTTGTTTATTTGAACATTGTTTGTTGATATTTACAAGTATCAGGAACTCAGAAGTAAACCAAACTAATCAGAGTGGTTTGATAACATTGTGGAGTAATTTTAACAATCATCCTCAACAAGTTAGATTCTTTCTTTCAATGAATTTTGAGATTATAATTCATTTTGTACATTTGACTCACAAATATATATGTTTCAGGGATTTGAACGTCTTTATAAGAACCTTGGCCTCGGAGAAACTCATTCCGTTCATTCTCATTCTCATGAACATGAATATCTTGGAAAAAATAATCCCACAGATAACTCAGCTGTTGAAATTCCTGAAAACAAAAGCCTTCTTTCCCGCTCTGGCCGAGAGATAGATTCGCCAGTGGCAAAAGACAGTGAGTATCAAATTAAAATAATTATTTTTTGAAATTATATGTTAATCACATTAAATCTATCTTTATTTGGCGCAACCATTGAATATAAATGCATACTCAATGGTGGAATTTAAGTGTAGTTATAACTCATTGATGTAGGCCTATAAAATTATTTGAGACAATAAGTCCTCTCTTTTTGGAAGTAAGTCGTATTAAAAATTTCTTTCATTTGTGATTGCTCAAGTTAGTAAGTTCAACAGATGTCTAAAAGGGCAATAAGCACTGAGTTTGTATATCTATATTCACTAATCTTCACGACTAATTTCACAATCTTACATGATTCTGTTTAGTTTGTGCAATCTGTGTTTCACTGAGACTTCTATTCAATTCAAATATGAGTAAAGATTTCTTTTTCCTAGGATCAGAAGAGGAGCTGGAGACGTTAGTTGATGCACATGAGGAGGTGACGGTGATTGCCCCACCTAGCAACACAGGAGAATCCCCAAAATGCTTGGCCCCCGCTCAGATACTTGCTGTCTATGGTGAGAAATAATCTGAGAAGGTGAATAGTTGTGGTTGTAGAGCTCCGCTAATCAGGGCTGGTATTTAACATCACTACCACCCATCATACTAGAGGGTTGGGGGTATAGAATAGTGATGTGGGTACGTCAAGGCAACTACTTGTACTGTGGGTTCTTGGAAAAATTACAACTACTGAGAAGTGACTTTTAAAAATCACTACCTACAGGGCAAGGTAGTGCACAACACATGTGTTGGTGATACATATGAGGATTATGGCTATGTGCCACCTTAGGTGAATTGAGGGGATTGCAAATGTGTTCCTTGGTACCAAGCAACGTTTCTTGTTTGTTTACTTACATAGATATATATCTAAGCTAAAGCTAAAACTTGAAACCACCAAAGCATTGGGAATTTATTGTGACATCATCTGTGAGCAAAAATTATGATCACTGCAACAATTTAATCGTCTCATGCAATCACACCAGCGACATCCGAAAGCATTGGTAGCAATCATGCCGACACCCCTAGGTCTAGCCTAAAGTAATGTGAAAAACATTCCTGGGCTTGTGCCTAGCGTCCTAGAAAAAAAACAAACATTGTACTGACTTTGACATATACAAAGCTTACGTCTCATACTGTAACACTGCACTTTTTTACTATTAAAGCAGTCTTTTTCCCATACTCAGTCAACAAACTATCATATTCAAGTCTCACTCACTATGCTTTGTTTCATAGATGACAGGCAATTCTGTCCTTTATTTTAATTTCAAAATTTACCCCCATTTTCCACATTCCATGTTCTTTTTTGGATTATGGCTTACAAAAAGCATGTGAATAATAAAAAACGGTCCTATGCTTGGTTATCTAAAGGCTGCAGTTTTATTCTGGGAAAAAATCAACAGCTTTTTGATGGTCGATACTGGGCCCACCTGTCCTTGATCATTGCGGACTGATAATTGGTGCTGACTATACCAGATACATCTGTTGTTAGTAACAAACTCACTTCATTCTACACTCATCCTTCACTCATATTTGGGTTTAAATACGCCATCTTGGCAGAGATCTACAGTCAACTCTCTAAGACGCGGATATATTGCAGGTGTTCCCCGTAGTAGTGAAGGTCTCAGTCCCGTCAGATTCCTCCATCTCTGCCCAGCTATTATATATCAACTGGACCAACACTCTTGTGATAGTAGCAAAGCTGACATCTCCGCAGAGGAAAACATCGTCCTTTCTCACACCAGTAAGTACCAATTTTCAATTCTTCACTCAATTACATAATTTGTAATCAATGTACAAGGAAGTTTACACTTTTATCTATAAGTATAACAGAGGATGTTTGTATATATATCTATAAGTATAAAAGAGGATGTTTGTATATATATTTGTTTGTTTGGCAGTGATAAACTCAGACACCGCTGAACCGATTGCCACGAAACTTGGTACATACGTGTAGAATGTCATGGAATAGGTTTATACACCATCAACTTCGTGATCCGTCCAATCGGCTCCGCCCCAGTGGCTCTGGAGTTTCCCATGTTAACCTTATGAGAAATGGAATTAATGAATCTTAACAGCTGTTTCAATTAAACAAGTTGGTTCTGTTCTATGATGTTCAATAGCATTAAAGTTACAAGGATTACCAACAGGGTGCAGCACTATTATTTCTTTTACATTTATGACAACAGCTAATTTGCAACCAAAAGGTGAGTGAGCGTAGCGAACGAACTTCAACCTGGAGGCGAGTTAGCGTAGCGAACGAGCTAACCTGAAGGCAAGTGAGCGCAGCGAACGAGCTCCAACCCAAAGGTGAGTGAGCGTAGCGAACGAGCTCCAATCTAAAGGTGAGTGAGCGTAGCGAACGAACTTCAACCAGGACGTGATTGAGCCATGCGAACGAGATCATCTTGAAAATTAAGAAGTTAAACGGGGCAAAGCCTGTGGGTTACAGCTAGTTTTATATATTTGTTCATCTCTGAAACATTCACAACAGTTTAACATACACTCTTTCAACTTTAACCTAAAACCACATAACGCCCACAAGAATTTTATCGACCAAATCAAATTATTTAAGTAACCTTTTCTGTTCAGTTCATTTAAATAAAAAAAAATATACTTATTCTATGTGATACTCTGTGTATTAATCAGTTTTTATATGTTGGTAAAATATTCTTTGGTAAAAAGATATTTTAAAACTGATTTGAGTTAGTTGATCCTTTAGGAATAAAATAGAATATTTACTATTCGTGGTACGAACGCTATTTTTCACCACACTATACCCTATTACCACTATTTACCACAATAATAATGCACACTGACAGTCAACGCAACTACAACTTTAAGGTTATGTGAAGAAATAATTTGAGGAATCAGCAAAAATAACAATAAATAGTTGCTAGGCAGCAGTGTCAATAAAAAAAATTCTATTGCAATGCTATGGATACTGATTGTGTATTTAATATGCATTCATGTTTTATGAAAGTATGCGGGCAGCTGATTTTGCGGCCCTAGGGATGTAAAAACCTGCTCGTTCCCCAAATGACGATGACAGCTGGCATGGCCAGCAAAACGTAATTTTCAGCCACCAATGAACGTATGTAAAACAGCTAAAAACATCATAGTGTGGTGAAAAGACGTTTTTAATATCCACCAATCCACCATATTTTATGTTATTATTGTAAACCATATGAAAGAGTCCAGATAAGACAAAATGACCCTATATCAAATCTGTGGAGTGTGATTTAGCCGTGGAAATTGTTTTTTATGCATATCATAATAACAAACAAAAAATCTTTACCACTAATATTTTACAAACAATATGCGATACTCTGATATTCAAAGAAAAATATTTATTATTAGCACTTATGCATGAAATGTTGAGCCCCATTGCAATAGGAACATAATTCAATCTAATCTACATGTAAACATGATAAGTAACAAACATTGGAAAACATGTATGATTATCAGCAAAGTTCACCTTATCGCTGTGTAGTTTACTAGACTGAGGTAGCACACGCCACTATAATCACCCATACTTATCACCAACTACTAATCCTGTTGACTAATCCTTACATTCTCTCATTGTGTTAAGTTATTGGTAACTCATTTAAATATGACTCAACTGATTGTATTACAAAATGTAGAACAAGGTTGGACAATCAGGCCGTTTGGTCAGGGTTAAAACCACCGATTGTTTTATTGTGGTGCTTTGTGATGTGACTGAAGTTGCCACAAAGATGATGCAGAGATTTGGATGAACTTGAAGAGCAGGTTCATTTTGATAGCTGATGTCAGTCTTTTTATTGCTTCTATATTACTGAAATGACCAATGCAGCAAATCTGCTGATAAATATACTGCGTCCTTGATATAAAATAACTTTACCCAACCCGCCATGTTAAACTTCCGTATCCCAAGCGTAATGTATACAACTTCTTTTCTTCACAAGTGAAGTAAAGATTCAAAAACTCACTCGGTGAAGTAATGAAACCCATTTAAATAACATTAAATGCTTAACTTACAAAAATATACCTCTATGGAGCCAACGATGTTCAACGCTAGAAATCAGCTGTGTGCTTGAATTTTTTTATGCTTTAAAGTATTTTCCTAACCTAGCTTTTGTTTTTAAAAGAACGTTACTCTTAGAAAACGAGTGAAATGCAATAATGAAAAATATTTTACGTAACCTCCTGTATATTGTCGGGTCAGCTACGTTACAGGTTACGCAAGAGCGTGTTTACATCACTAAGGTGAATTAAGGTGAACATTCACCTGCGTGATGTAAAAACGCTCTTTACTACACTTGTAAGATAAATAGCTATTGGAAAACTTCAATATAACATGTATTGTGTACCTAAGTAATCACTAGGAAAAATAGAGTTCAACTAGCTTACTTGAAAAAATTAGAGCACAGAAAACATACTACTATAACCCAGAATGCCAACCACATGGTAAAAAGCATTAAGTGTTTTGAGAGAGCTTTGCCTGTCAATTCGTAGGCAGCGCCACCAGCGTTGCTATGCTGAGTGTATGGCAACTCTGGTGGCGCTGCCTACGAATTGACAGGCAAAGCTCTCTCAAAACACTTAATGCTTTTTACTATGCAGTTGGCATTCTGGGTTATAGTAGTATGTTTTCTGTGCTAATAGATTCACAATTAACTTAATTAACATAAGCCACAACACTTGCTACAGTGGTGTAGTCGTAAAATATCCAGTGTGGGAACGCTTACCATCGTTGAAGAACTGATTAACATATAGGATTAATATATATAGGAAAAAGCAGAGTAAACACTACACCACTAGTAGACTAGCTGAACTCTATTCCTTTCCAACAAAATTCCTAACCAAGCAAATGGCTTTCCTTTGGCTTAAAATACAAAATGATCACTAGTCAATGGAACAAATTCTTGTAACACAGTAGACTCACTCTTATCTAGCCTCCTTGGGATTGAAGTCAGTCTGGATAGCTGTTTTTCCAATTAAATTGAAATACTCTAAAACTTGTTAAATTAGGATCATCTAATGCATACAGAATGACTAGCTTGAATATTTTACTTAAATTGGAGAGAGCACATTGTATTTAGACATCTTATCACTCTGGTCTCAAATCTTTCCCACATGAAAAGTCGTTTCAGTACTGCACACTTCCTGCTGATCCAATCTGTATAAAATGATGTTGTGATAAAAATTTCCTGGTTAAAGCTGAGCAGATGTCCCTTCTGCAGAGTGTAGTCCAAGAGGTGTCCGGGTAAAAGGGAGTCTCAGTCTACTGATGAATTAATTTTGAAAAATGTCTATAACTAATGGTGTTAACATTCCAGATTGGTTGTATGCCGTGCTGTCCATCCTTGTCATCAGTGTTTCTGGTTTTCTGATTGTTGGAATCATACCACTTGTACACAAGGCAGTTATAGATCAGCTCAACTGTTTCCTGGTTGCTCTCGCTGTGGGAACTCTGCTAGGTGATGCCTTCATTCACCTCCTTCCTCATGTAAGCATGTGTGTTGTAGATTAGATGTCCTAGTTTTATGAGTTATTTTTGTAACATTTATAATTGATTGGTTGTTGGTTGTTAAACTGTGTAGAACCCTACTACCTTGGAGATTATTCAGGTGGATATACGAGAATTTTCTGTAACTAACATTCTCCATCAAGTCACTGTCGCGAGCTATACCAAATGCTATATTTAGAGATTTACACACAGGGAAGTAAGATACAGAGGATACAAGATTATGGGAAAACAGTGTGCTTTTAGCTCTGGTATGTTTGGGCGTACATCGTACACATGATGCTAATGATTACGATAACCTCCGAGCTCCCTTCATCTCTTTCTTAACATCCAAACACTTAACTTCATTCAATGGACTTCAACAGCGGTTGACGCCACAACAGAAATATAATCACAAGGTAATTAGTACTTGGCAGAAAGCGTCGATTTTCCTTCACCCAATTTTTACCTAGTATGACTAGACAAATATTGGATGAATTGAACTTTGGTAGTCTCAGATTTGATCAATCTCACTTTGCCACAAGGGAAGTTTGAGACACCTTAATGTACGGAGAACCCTTGTATGTCTTTGCACAAAATTACAATTAAAATAGGAAGGTAAAAAGGTAATGACACATATCGCATATACAGAGATACTGTACTAAATTTTTGTATTCCCTCAAGATGAAATTTTACATACCTTCCCATTCCCATTGCATAGAAGTTCTTAGGAGTTTTATTGTAGTATGTGACGGTAAACTCATGTTAACTGTGCTGCTTTAGTAACTTTCTGTAAACATTTCTTGTATCTTGTATCGTTTCTAATGTAGAGTAGTGTGACATAGATTTGTAAAGTTTTCAATGGGTACTTTAGATTAAATATTTATAGGATACTTTAAGCTATAATAAAATTGTGTACTTCGACAACAGAAGAAAATACAGTACAACCAAACAGTAGCAAATAATAAACAAAAAGTAAAGTACTGATAAACTAAAAATAAGTATTAGATTGTGTTTGTTGGCAAAGTCTTAACAAGTTATATAACCGGATACTATTCTAAGTTAAAGATACTGATAAAACCCATTATCAAATAAAAATCTGAAAGTATTATCCCGTTAATCTACATCATATAACAGCATTCAAGTATTTGTTACCTCATGGGAGATAAGATTTAGCATTACACGACAACTGTTATATAAACCAGTCTAGATTTTGATCTTTCCAGTGTTATACAGCTTATTGAAATACATTGTTAACTACCAAATTTTTACAACAAATTTGTGAAACCTCCCTTTGGACAAATGTTAATACAATTAGTTTACTTGTGGATTGGTTTAAGACCATTTTCAGCAGGGGGTCTGTAGGTCCCTGACATTTTTAGGTTAGGCCGAGATCAGTTCGAGCCAAAATAATTTTTGGGCCAAGCTTAAAGCTTTTACCTTCACAAATAGCTAATAAATGCTTACAGATACATAAATGCTATACCTTAAATTCAGATTTTTAAAATTTCCTAAGCAATCATGTTTTTTCAGGCATTGGAGTCTCACAATCATGATGAACAGCATAGTCACACGGATTCTATTAAGAAAACTGGATTCATGTTCTTAAGTGTTGTCAGCTGGTTTTTTGTACAAACTAGTGTGACCTGGTATAAAAATATGAAGGTAAGCTGTAACCATTTACTGTAGACTTCATTGTTGTTTCATTTTTTGTTTGTTATAGCTTTCATTGAGTAACCCAATTAGTTTAATTACCTGTTTCTGGGTAGTCCATTCAGTGCTTATTGCCACAACTAGTTTAGAATTCTCAGGAAGTAATCTTCAGGTATTGAAAGATATCAAAATTGCTTCATCATTGATTAGATCGTCCGTTCACATAGAGAACATACGCGGACACTCATGAACAACATATTAATCAAAGAAATTTAACGATTAAAAGACAGTAACTAAGATATCCAAAGTTATGTGACACGACCGGTGGACGTAGAGTCTAGACTTGAAACTGTGATATTCATGTTGTTTATAAGCCTTTATTCTTTTTTTGCTCTTTTTGATCGGAACTTTGGAAAAAACTGGGCGTGTGTGGACAGTTTAAACATACACAGGCCCAAACTGTTCTAAAGCTGCATTCTCACTCGACGTAAATACAAAGACTTGTCAACACGCTTTTGTGAGCCACGCCTTTAGTGAAGGGGATTACCACCTGTCGTAAGGCATGGACTGTTCACACGACCCACGCTTTATCTTTTGGATATAGAAAGCTTCAGAAAGCAAACAATGGCGGAGTGTATTGTTTAGAATTGTGCAGTTGGAAAAGTGGAGAAAGGGCGTTTAGATGTAAGAAAGTCGATACTTGAAAGTAACGGAGAGGTGCATCAATAGATTGCATGGTACGGCTACCGTTCATCAGCGTTCAACTCCAAGAACATCAAAGTGTCATTGTCCTGCAATTAATTACTCATGTTCCTGATAGCTCAGACATAGCACACATAAAAAAAAAACCTCGAGAAATAAACAATACGCCAGCCAAGATGAAAAATTGCAGGCTGTTGAGTACCGGTCAAGATTGGCCAGTTAAAAAGTTGGCCAGTTAAGAGCTCTCCTCACTACTGGTGATGTCAGAGGCACCACCACTAGGCCGTGGCCTAGGGCTGCAAGCAAGAGGGGGCCCAGGCGTTTTGTACAAAACCAAGCTTTTTCAAACAAAAATTAAATTTTTACTTTCTAAAATTAATGATTTGCCATGCTTGTGGGTGACTATATTGATGTCCCAGTGATAGCAGGAGATGTTCACGATTGCCGGTGACAATGATGATGTCCCAGTGATAGCAGGAGATGTTCACGATTGCCGGTGACAATGATGATGTCCCAGTGATAGCAGGAGATGTTCACGATTGCCGGTGACAATGATGATGTCCCTGTGATAGCAGGAGATGTTCACGATTGCCGGTGACAATGATGATGTCCCAGTGATAGCAGGAGATGTTCACGATTGCCGGTGACTATATTGATGTCCCAGTGATAGCAGGAGATGTTCACGATTGCCGGTGACAATGATGATGTCCCTGTGATAGCAGGAGATGTTCACGATTGCCGGTGACAATGATGATGTCCCAGTGATAGCAGGAGATGTTCACGATTGCCGGTGACTATATTGATGTCCCAGTGATAGCAGGAGATGTTCACGATTGCCGGTGACAATGATGATGTCCCAGTGATAGCAGGAGATGTTCACGATTGCCGGTGACAATGATGATGTCCCAGTGATAGCAGGAGATGTTCACGATTGCCGGTGACAATGATGATGTCCCAGTGATAGCAGGAGATGTTCACGATTGCCGGTGACAATGATGATGTCCCTGTGATAGCGGGAAATGTTTTATTTACTTAATTTGACCAAATTTGTTATGAAAAACAGAGCTTGTACTTTTATGAACGCTTGCAAATAAAGACCTTATTTATTTATTTATTTATGTTCACGATTTTGCCACGATCGCGGTGAGGTCCCGCAAACAGGACGGGGTGCCGCTCGGGTTACTTTGGTCAAGGGCCACAAGTACCCTAAATCCGGCACTGGTGCCACGCCTCGAGGGAATGCGGCTTATGTCTGAACCAAGTGGATCCAGATGACAAGGAGTTAACTGTGCACAGTTTGATGTTTCATTATCAATCTTATCTACTCCAACTATTCTAACTATAAATACTTTCTTTGACTTATGTTGTGCGTGTAACTTAATTTTTTGGTTAAATTTTCTGTCAACTCTGAGTGCACATAGTAGTCGCATAAACATATATTATTAGGAAACATACTGAACATTTTGTTAGTGGGGGATTAACAAAACTGTGCTTTCAGGCAAAGGAGGAAATACAAGAGAATGCAAACTACATACCCGTCAACACCACTGATAATGATAACCAAATGGAAAAAGGTGAGAAGTTAGTTAACAAAATAGTTTAAAGGTTGGGAAACTGGAGAAGGTTTACCTTGACAATATTTTTATATTATATTTACTTAGTAGAGCTTTTTCCCAAAAATCAATTACAAAAAATAAAAAACTCTTTAAAAACAATTATTTTGGAACAGACTGTAGTATTTATACCGTTGCTCACTGGACTGTGCCCAAACCATACACAAAATCCAGAGACATACCTTGTTAAAACCGTTTAATTTTGGGTTGTTTTAGAGGTTAAGGATGAATGTATTCTCCATTCTTTAAGTTAGTATCATAGATAAAACATATGGTGGGTCGAGGTCTGGGGTAGAGAAAGGCCCCACTAGAAAAAACAGGCCATGCTGCAGCGCGGGTAGCGCAACACTCCGTCACAGTGGTGGATAGTTGTACTAAACTCTTACCATTAAAATCTTACAAACAGCCAGCTTGTTTATTTACCTAAAACATATCGGAATGGTGATGGCAATGAATTTATCAATGAAATCTATCCACCATAGTGTGACGTCATGGATCCTGCAGCATGGCCTGCTTTTTCTAGTGGGGCCTTGGGTAGAGGTCCTGTTTTGTTTACAATTTGTTTCTTGTCATATCTTAGTATTTCTTAGTATTTTGTTTCAGTGTATTTAAAACCTTGTTTAACCATATAATACGATCTAATCGTAAACAATAACTCGTTTGCTAGTTATATACGGTAACCAAACAGTAAAGCTCTAATCATGAAATTAACATTAAAATAATAGAAACGGAATTTCGTCAACACTATTCATGTATATTGTGTATACAAAACGAGTAAAGTATAATTTCATTTGATTTGATTTGACTAGCGCTCAGTGTCACTGTACATGAACTAGACACGAAAAACGAGCTTTAAAATTTACAATTGGATTAAAAGTCTACTCGTGTTGATTAGTTTATGTTTAGTATATCAATACTTATATACATACAGCTTTAAGTTTTGGGTTTCCCCAATAATACTTTTAACTTAAAAATAACTCTGATTATTTTAGAGCTACTGCCTGATGAGTTGAGTGGTTTTAGTGCCCACCTTCATATCTGAAGGTTGCTGGTTCGATTTCAAGCGGTCCTGGATCAAGATGTGTCATTGACCTATTAAAATTAACAGTGCTGTGCAGAAGAGGAAGACCAGATTTGGGACCTTTCTCTTGAAAAAAGAGGGTCAGCAACAAAGATCAGAGTAAGTAAATGGAATTTGAATGTGTAGAAGTAAAAAATACCATATTTATCAAAAATTACATGTCCCTACAGAAATGATGCAATTGGGTGAAGAGGCCAGTCCCAACTTCAAAGTCAAAGGTCACAGTCACTCAAAGTCAAATTCCAACTCGAAATCAAACTCCCCGATTGCCATGATGATGGTGTCAGGTGATGCTATTCACAACCTCATTGATGGTCTGGCCATTGGGGCAGCCTTCAGTGGAGGGTTAGCTCCAGGGTTTGCAACAGCTGTGGCAGTCTTCACACATGAGCTGCCTCACGAACTAGGTGAGTACTGGAACTGTTACTCCCATGATAATGCTACCAGGTGATACTGGACCTTCCCCTATTGTTTGATGTATAAACCTAAACGCGCACTGGGTCGGGACTGTACTGATGGGATTTTTTAAGAATGTTTAGCATTGATTTGCCGGTACTAGGTACTGGTATTGTGTGCAGGTACTAGGCCGTTACAGTCGGGATAGGACCATCCATTCCTTCCATCCGAAATTAAGATCGGAAAAAGATTTCTATTTTCTAGGACATTCAGACTCATCCACCACTTCGGTTCCGTCTGCAGCGCATTCTTGTGTTTGACAAATGACAAATGACAATTCTTTATTGCACATAACATCTGTTAAAGTTATTACAAATGTAATACACAGACAGGTACATTGTCAAGGTTTCTAATAAATAAGGAAATCTAAATAGGTATAAAAAACCTAGGATTTAGCCAGTAAGTTACCCCTACAAAGCTACAGCATGGTGGAACTGTTTATGTTAGGAGAGGTTGATGAGAGATTGGGTGTCTGTTACCAGGAGTCGTTGAAAAATTCCTCAAGAGTGTAATATGCTTTTTCTACTAAAACTGTTTTGATTTTGTCTGTAAATTTTGCTAAGTTTAATTGCTTTAAGGAGTTTGGAATTTTATTGTAAATTTTTAACCCCATATAGAGAGGACTTGTTTTATATTTTTTTAAATTATGAGTTGGGTATTGAAAAATGTCTTGTCTTCGGGTATTATATGAGTGATTACTAAGATAATTTTGAAACATACCAGGATTTCCATGAACCATTTTTAAAATTTCAAAAACGTATATTGAAGTTAGAGTTAAAATTTTAAAATTCCGAAACAATTGTCTACATGATGTTTTTTTGGGGCAATTTGCAAGAGTTCTGATTATTGACTTTTGTTTTTTAAAAACTTTGTGGACATCTGTGGCTGTCCCCCATAATGTAATACCATAGCTTAAAATAGAGTACACATAAGCATAATAAACATTTTTACATACTTCCAAGGAGGTAACCTGAATTAAAACACTTAAAGCATATCTTGTTGGACTAAGTTTTTTGTTTAGAAAATTAATATGTCCTGTCCATTGTAGTTTACTATCCAAATATATCCCTAAAAACTTTACTACATTTGTGGGCGAGGCAGTAGTTTCTGTTCCAGTGGTTGAATTTCTCAATTTGAAAATTAAAACACTAGTTTTATCTTCATTCAAAAGTAAGCCATTTTTTAAAAACCAATTTGCTATTTCTCCAATTGTTTCTTTGACATCATCATGTAACATTTTAACAGTACTTCGTCTGATGAGAGCTGTTGTATCATCTGCATAAAGGGTAAAGTTACAGATTTGACTTGAAAAATGAAAAGGTAAATCATTAATATATGTGAGGAATAAGAGAGGACCTAGGATTGAACCTTGCGGAACTCCATAGTTATTATTTGCCCAAGAAGAGTATTTGTTCCCAGAGGCGGTTTTAATTACTGTTCTTTGTTTTCTATCGCTTAAGTAAGACTTCAAAAGTTCAATTATTTGTCCATGAAAACCAATTGCTGTAAGTTTTTTGATAAGAATTTTGTGATTAACACAATCAAAAGCCTTGGATAAGTCGCAGAACACACCAGCTGTGCACTGCGACTCATCCAAGGCCTTCAAAGCGCAATTTACAAAGTTGTTTAAAGCTGATTGGGTATTTAGATTTTTAAGGAAACCAAATTGTTCCTTGCAAAACTTGTAGTTATTTTCCAAAAAGCTAGATAATCTAGTGTGAAGAATTTTTTTCATAAACCTTTGAAACATTACTTAATAAAGAGATCGGTCTGTAGTTCTGTACTTCATTTAAACAACCTTTTTTGTGAATGGGTACTATTTCTGAGAGTTTTAGTAGTTGGGGAAAAACACCTTCTGCAAAAGATTGATTAATTAGTGTAGCCAAGATGTTTGATATTTCATTTGCTGACCATTTCAATAATTTAATGGGTATACCGTCCCAGCCACAGGCATTACTGTTCTTTAAACTTAGAATAGTTTTTTTTACTTCAATTTCATTTGTTTGATGAAGATTACCTAATTTTGTCACCTGAACTGTAGGATTGTTAGCATACGGATTGATATTAGCACTGTGTGGCATGTTTGGCAGCTTAAGTATATTGACAATGTTGGAGTACTGATAATTAAACAGTTCCGCCACGACTACAGCATCATCAGTAATTTCATTGTTGACCTTAAGTTTAATGTGAGGCTTAACAATTTCACTTTTAACACCTACACCTAATTCTTCCTTTACAACATTCCACATGGCTTTGGACTTATTTTTTGCTTGCATTATATACCTATCATTTGCAGATTTCTTAGCTTTTTTAACAATCTTTTGAAATATCTTTTTGTAATTTTTGACATAGCTTAGAAAATTAGGATCATTACTAAATTTTGCTTCATAATGTAATTTTCTTTTGTTTATTGATGACACTGTTATCCCTAAAGTAACCCAAGTTTTTGATTTACTTTTATTTTTTGCTTTAAAAGGTTTAACTGGAAAGATTTCATCCATACTTAATTTAATCTTAGCCAAAAAATTTTTGTAATTGTTATCCACTGAACCATCTAAAGATAAAGACATCAAATTACATCTCAAGCTATTAATAAATGGGGCGATGGATCCTTCAGGAAAACGTCTTCGATAGGATTTTACAGAGTTTGTTGCTTTTAATTTAAATTTACTACTAATAGGTAGCTGAAGGAATAGAGCATTGTGGTCAGACATAGATAAATCAAGATTCTCAAAAGGAGCTTTACCATAATTTATAGAAGTTAGAAAGTTATCAATGCAGGTTTTGTTGTTTTTGTTATTCTTGTTGGCTCTTTGATGTTTATCAAGAAACCATGATTACTAATTTTATTTTTAAATTCTTCTACTAAATTACTATTCTTTTCTAAAAGGTTAATATTAAAATCAGCTGCTATAACAATTTGTTTCTTTTTTGCCTCAACTTTCAAAACAGTTAGGAAGCTTTGAAATTTTTTAAGAAACAAATTACTAATGTAATTTCCTGGTATTCTATAGACTGATACAATTAACAAATTAAGATCTTCAATTTCTACAAATGACCCTTCAAAGATAAACTCCTCATTGAAAGTTTTACTTAGATCTTGTCGTGAAATGGTAGAAAGGGAATCATGGACTAGTATACAAGATCCACCTCTAGAGTAATTCCTGAAAAATCCATCCCTCAAACTGAAATTGTGTATTCTATTTAACAACAGTTTATTTGATTCTTATATATTATTTTCATTAAAGCAAATTATTTTAAAATTTTTTGTGCTTTCTAATAAAATATTTATCTCTTCAAATTTTTGCTTAATTCCTTGAATGTTGTAGTGCATTATACAATTACTTAGATTTTTTGACAACACAATTTCATTACCGATACCTTTGTCGCCTTTATCAGATTCTGGATAAGAATACTGCCCATTATCAAACACATCAGTCATGTTAGGTATTACTTTGTAACTAATGGGGGGAACGTGGTCAAATTTCCTAAAAAAGGTATGGCATTTGGTCTGTTAATCTTATACATTTCTATTTTAGTAGTTATATAATTAAGTTGATCAGAATTAGGGGTTGCAAACCCTCTGAATGGAGATTTTAAATCTGGAGAGTGGGGAGGACTGTCAGTGTGGACTGGAGTGTGGAGGGCTAGGGGTGGTTGACATTTCAGGGGTAGTGACAGGGCTGAGGGTGATATTACCATCACCTCCACTTTCACTCTCACTTGGCTGGCTCACATCACTCACTACACTTTGGCACCGGCTGGAACCATGGGGAGATGCGGGCAGGTGGTTGCCGGGACAGGTTGTGGTGGAGGTGTTGGCGCCAGTCAGCTCCAGCGTTTTGGTTTGGACAGTACAGACGTTCCAAATTAACATAACATAGTTTTAAGCACAAATCAGTGTATGCACCCTACTTAACCAGGTGTAGAATGTCCGTATCATTTGTTCGTCCAGTACTGATTGTTCCAGTACACGCAGTCCATTAAAAAGTGCAGAATGCTGTATCGTCCATCAGTGCACATTTTATTTATCATTAATAATTTTTATTTCTTAGTTCTCAAGGTGTTTCAACAATCATCAATAATGATTTTTTTAATAGTTGACATTGACATTGTACTTTTAATATTATTCTCGTAATGAGCTGTGGCCGACTTAAAAAAAAAAACTATCATAGGTGAACTTAGTGTGCTGAGTGTGATGTTGATGGACAATTTTATAAGTGGCTCATCCAATCATGTTCAATTTGTATAAGACATTGGTAATCTGGTCTTTATAGATAGAATGTCTTCAGTATCCAAAAGTGTTGATGCCTTTGTATGGTTAAAACTGTTATTGCTAAAAATAAAAATCTACAGTTACAAAGAGGGGAACAGTACATGTTTGTTTTTAAATTTATATATGTCAACAGCCATCAAGATAAAAAAATGTCTATACTACCCTAACTCAACTTAAACAGCACAAAACATTACCTTACATGTGCTGCAAACATGGATTATGTTTAGAGCTATTGTTTAAACATTGGGAATACACAGCATTCTTAAGGGCAAAGTGTATCTATTCCATATAACTTTCTGATTTTGACAAAAAACTCATGTTCAACTGGATCCAGCAAACCAAAATCATCAAAATAGGTCTCAACCACACACTCCTAGTTCATCTCAAGTAATGGACTTAAAATGTTTAACCACTGATCAAATAATTGTTTAATTTATTTATTTTCCTTCCCTCAGGTGATTTTGGAGTTCTTCTACAGTCAGGGATGCCAGTAAGGAAAGCTCTGATGTACAACATTGTCTCATCAGTATTGAGCCTGATTGGAGCGATCATCGGACTGTTTGTAGGCAACATTGGGGACATCACTCGCTGGATCTATGCATTCACAGCTGGTTCCTTCATCTACCTCGCCTTGGCTATATTGGTACGTAAGGTCATTGTTTGTGGATACCGATGTTCATTTCTTACTTGATCTAAACCACAATCCAATATATTTTTCCCTACAGTTACCTAACAATGTACATGTTCTCCCACTGATTTGAGAAAGCAAAGTGGCCAATTCGCTCACTACTATCTAATTACTTTGTCTCACTCCAGGTTTGCAACGTGAAGGGACATTTCTTTACCAATTCATTTGTTTTATGGTAACTGTAGGAAAAATATAATGTGCAACTCGAGTGCAAAGTGCAATCGCCACACTCGAGAAACCATTCCTCACTCGCCTACGGCTCGTGAGTAAGAATTTCTCTCGAGTGAGGGAATTGCTCACTTTGCTCACTAGTTGCACAAATAACTAATTCATCCCATCCATACTATTTTTGGTTTGGAGGATGCTCCGGATGAAGTGCGACCAGCAGTGCCAGTTGTCCTCACACTCCATTATGGTCTCACAAACCAATTCCACAACAACACCCCAAGATATCAAGTGGCTTCCTTGTTGAGCATATCTCAACATGGACAGCCTTAGAAGTGTGATTCGTTGGGAGTACCCGGGCAGTAAATATCGTCAGGTGAATTGAACTTGGCCATCAAACATAGGTACAACCCAAAATAGCCGTGACCTTACATGAACTGCGAGAGGTAGTAGTCAATCTCACCATGCCGTTGTTCCACCCATGGCTGGACCCACCTGATGAGTCTGGCAGTCTTCTTGTTAGTCATCTTGTTTGTGATATTACTAGTAACATTTGTAATAAATTAGAACCATCGGTATTACATTCAATACTTAATGAACATATTGTTTTAGGTACCTGAGATGAACAAAGAGAAGACCAGCTTGTCCATGATATTTGTAAGATTGGCCGGAATCTTATGTGGAGGTGGTCTGATGTGTTGCATTGCACTTTACGAGCAGGACATGCACAATTTGTTTTTATAAGTAATATTACGCCTTTATCAGTGATAGTAGACTAGAATGTCTTCAGTTAACATAAGCACAGAATAAAGACCTTACCTAACACCCCTAAATACAAAAACCGTTGCTTTTGAATTTGCTAGTAGGCCTCTGGCACGTGCAAAAAGTGTGACTGCAATCGCTTGGTGTAAAATACTAAAATAATTAAAAAAACTCTGTGAATTTTAGGTCAATTATGTCAATAATTATGAAAAAGAAAAAAAAGGAGTATAAATACTAATACTGTATTATTGAGATTTTTGTTAGTGAGTATTGTTGGGATGCTACTTTTTTGTTAGGGGCCCTCTGAATGTTGGCACTGGGCCCACACCATCCAAAACCAGCCCTGGTTGGCCGCTAGGTCAGACGTGGAGGAGAGAGAACTGATGTTACTACACCGTTACTATCAGCTAACAAGTGAAATTAATACTATGAAAAATCACTGCGACAGCAGGGCTCTTAGATTCTGGTGTAGATACTAGCAGATTCAAACACAACATTACTCTTGTCTCAGTAAGAGAATTAGGTTAGGTCTGAAATAAGTGACCCAGATATTAAAACAGAAAATCATTTTATAATATTTTTAGAAAAAGCTGCTAGTCTGTCTTGTAATTTAATTGTATTTAATTTTCTTTAATATGCCAGAAGTATTAACGATTCAAGTAGGTATACTGTTTTACTTTTCAGAACTTAGAAACAGTTTTATACATTTTAAAGAAGTTAAGGCTGGGAAATAAAGCTATGCATTTTTTGATAATTGAATTAAGATCATTCTGTCTATTAACAACTGCTACATCCAGATGTGAAAAGAAATACTCTATTAACTCATTAAAAAGCCAAATTTTACTTATTGATAATCAAAATATTTATAAACTAGTTGCAGATGAAAATTCTTACTCGTAAATTAAATTATTTGCTCTCGTAAATTACAATATTTGGACTCCTTAAAAATAATATATTTGTGGGAGTTGTAAATTAAAATATTTTTCTGTTATAGACAGAAATATTTTAACTAGTTTTAAATCAAAATCAGTTGTAAACTAAATCAGTAAAACATCCTGTAGAGTAAAACATTTTTTAGTCCTGTTGTCGTTTGAAAATTGTTTCCATATTTAAACATTAAAGTTCGTATTAATAATAAATAAACGATAATTTTTAAACATAAAACATCTGATTGCTGTTTAAACTACAGAAACAAATGGACCGTTTTGGTAGCTTCTGATTATAACTGACAAAGGTTTGGTTTCAATCAGAGTATATAAATTATTAATTGGCTCCCTTTGAATGTTTCTATTGAGAGAACCTGTGTAAAAACATTACTGTTTCCGTCCAAACAATTCTTTTGAATACTTACAGCCTCATACAAAACCTATGTAAAACTTTTGATGGGCTTTCATTGAATTGAAAAAAAAAATGCCTTATTAAATCCACAGGACATCACAATGTACTGACAATATTGAAGAACAGTTTTCTATTCTATTTAAAAATATACAGTATTTATTTATCATCCTAATGTTTACATTTTATGACAGTATACATTTTTACTTGGTACCTACCTTATTAGTCACTGATTTATTTAGTTCCTCAATAATGACAATACAGTTTTTAAATTTATTACACTTGTTTGTAGTAAAATGTAAATACTAACCCAGCTGTAGTGCATATATTGTCATTGTTAATAGTTTTAGGAAGTTTTAAAAGATCATTTTACCCTTATTTAAGCTTAGCCTTTAGTGTTAAATTATATCTCAGATTTCTTTTGAATGAAAATTTTTGTTGAAAGGATCAATTTGATCTCAAAAGCTGCATTTTTCAGGACATAGTTTAAGTTTTAGTTGTTTATTTTATTGTGTTGTGTTGATTCAATGATCAATAATTTGTAAACCAAATTAAAAACTTGTCAATATTGTTTATAACATTATTTCAGTTTATTATTTCCTAAACTCCAACAGGAGTTAAGATAACTGTTAAAGTTTAATTGTTAAAATAAAATAAATTTTAAAACAGCACATAATGTATACTCACTTGAAATCCTTACTTTTGTGATCTATAAAAGCTTGACCAACCCAGAAAAGAGTTTCAGGATGAAAAGTTTAAAAGCTTGTTTCCTTCAGAGGAAAAACCTTCTCAAAGAGGAAACCTTAAGTCAGTTTACATAAAGCATTAAGCCACTTCATAAATGTAATAGGGTTCCATCAATTAAAGAGAATGGGTGTACACACTTTGAAATACTTACTTTTGTGATCTTCTTTAAAAGCTTGACCAACCGAGGAAAGAGTTTCCAGTTGTTTTTAAACAGTTTTCTTTACATGAAAAACCTACTCTAAAAGGAAACCTGAAGTCAGGTGATATAAAGCATCACTTCATATGTAATAGGGTTCCGTAAATTAAGGTCAAACCGTAAAAGTAAGACCAACATCTTACTTCATTCATCCAACAGAATCCCATCCCTAGTCTGGTCATACTATTAAAATGTTGTGAAATATAATTGACACTCCCGCCAAGTATAAATTGTGTCTATGATTATTTTTCTGTATTTACTCAGTCCTGCCGCAATATGTCTTAGCCCTTGGGTAAAATAGTAAAAAAAAAAACTATTCTTAAGAGTTTTTTTCTGAGAGAGTCTCAAGTTTCTGTGAAACTTCTTCAGTGCTTAAGAGCTTTTCAACCAAAAATAGACCTGCTATTTTTAGAAAATGGGTCTATGTTAGTATCATCTCCAGCTCAGCCATTTACATATTTATTCAAATTTATATTTAAATCTAAGTTTGCAATTCTATGGCACCTATCACCTATAGTTGGCCGATTTGTATATCAAATTACCAAATGTATTGTATTATATAAATTTACTACTGTACCACGATTTATAATAATGTACGGTATACATCACCTTCAATTAATGTTTTCAAACTCAGAATCAAACAATTTCTCTTCAGGCTTCGTATAGATGAGGCCGACTATCATCACAGCTGATTACCGGCGGGGGGTGTGACCCGAACCTTGCCCCCTCTATCCTGATCCAGCATTAATCCTAGTAGTCTAGTCCACACCTATTCAAAACTGTATTCATTGTAGATCTTATCCAATTTTACAATTCATATAAATCTCCTTTCTAAACTAATAACCTATTAAGCAACAGTCTCCACATTCCATTATTCATCTTTTTTATAGGCTATAGGCAATAATTCCATATGACTTGGTTGCTATAAATATTTAAATAGCAACCCAGCAGACGTATAGACAGCACTGGCCTATGTCTGCTGTATTTCTTATAATCAATTTAATTTAGTTTATACAAAAAAGTTCTTTTTTATTCTTAGTCTTAGTTTTAATTTGTAAGTATTTTGTATTAAAAAAATATGTTTTTGTTTTCTGTATATATTATGTGGAAATAAACATTTCATTCATTCATTCACTTTCTTTATAAGAACAGCATACAAAATCATCTGCTACTGGGAAGTTTGCTTTCTACATAAACTTTCTGTATGTAGATGAGATACATAAAAGGTTTACATATTATGCTCCAGACTTAATGACCTTCCTACTTCCAGTATGAATCTTAATTGTGTACCCATCTTCTTTTCCAGCTCACCTCTTACAAAACAATGATATATAGGTTTTAATTCAATTGTAATGGAGTCCTTCCTATCTCCAGAATAAATTGCCTCTACTACTTCTGTAATGACTCTTTTCATTGTCCTCCTATCCTTTCTTCCAATTCATTTGTTTAACAAACACTCATCAACGATGGTTCATTTTAATGTCCTGGATACAATTCACGGTCCATATAAAATGCCTTTATTAATTCCATAATGACTCCTTTAATTGTAGCCCAATGTTCCCCTATAAGTCAATTGATTATTAAAACATCACCTAATACGGTTTACCTTAATGCACTGAACATATTCACTCTACTGACAAATTCACTTTTCCACTCCCATATCCCATATCGATTCTGTTAATAATGGGGACATGGTTCCATAATAGAGTTGCTTGCTTACCAGAAGACGACTGAGAATGGTTAAGCTTAATGTACCCAAAACATTAATTTCATGCTCCAGACAAGATGACTATACCATTGTTAATTCTAAGTTCATCGAATGAAGTCCTGGTTACAATTCATGCTCCAGACAAAACCCCTTTATGACACTCTTTAATAGTGGGCCCATGTGTGCACCACTATTGTGTAATGGATCACTGAAACACATTGAAAACTATGGGCCAAAGCACTCCTTCTTAGAGTAAGTAAGCTCACTCTTCACACACCTTCAAAACGGGTTGCCTCGGCTATTCTGATGCTGGATAGGTGAAGAGTTAGACAAACAGTATAATTAGTTACTATAGACCGTCGGTTCAGAAAATATCTGCAATGTATGGGTTTGTATGATGGTGTCTTATATTTACAATGCAGGAGATGCGGTGGATCAGAGGAAACAGGTCTCTGCACTGCACTGTGACTGTGAGGAGCTCTCTAAGGTAGAAGGATAACTCTTGTCATCCTAGTTAGACAGAGTCGCCTTCCCAAGGGGATCTGATTGGTAGACTGTAGGCATTTATCAGGTTTGATATTTTAAGGCATCTCAATAAAAAAAAAAAAAAACTTAATGGGGAGCACAATGGGCCCCTGCAAGATAACATAAATTAGTGGACTCGTAGAAGTTATTAATGAATGCATTTTACTGTCTGGAAAAAAAATTACTTTGCTACTTCTATGATTATTACTGACAATAAGACCTTACTTTATTTCATTTTCGGAACTACACTTCACTATTTCCATAATTACTTCGTTATTGTATGGCCATGTCCACTTCATATTCACCTCTTTACGGAAAAAACAACGATATTTTATCCTAATGGCTTGGAGACATTTCTTGCTCCAGACAAAAATCTCTTACTTCATTTCATTATCAGAACGTTACTTCACTATTTCCATAATTACTTTCTTAATCGTGGAGCCAAGTTCCCTCACAACGTTTTTACCAAAAGCGTAATCAAATAAACAAAAACAACAAATAAACACAAACAAGAGAACATGTACTAAATACGAGATGGTAAATTTGACATAAAATACACCTAACTTTTCGTGCTATTTGTATAACATCCAACATTTTGATATGATGTATTTTTGCATTTACATAAACCTAGCACAAATAAAGTTAAGTCAAAATGTCTTAAGAGAAAAGAATTTATTTATAAAAATAAATACCTCTGCCTTAAAAAATAAGGTTGCCAATGACACAAAAAAATAGTACACATAAAATATCGAAGGATTATACAGCTATAAGACTGATTAATTTTGATGTTTGCCATATAGATGATTTCTCATTATGGTCAATGAACCTTTTAATGTTTCATGAATAATAATTTTCAAAAAGGATCTGTCCAAATCATATTGTTTCCAAAAGTTCACAAAACATTTTGATAATGTTCCTCTAGAACCAATAAACAATCCAATCACCTCAATTTTTGAAATTTTAAAATTTTGCTTGAAATATTCAAAGGTAGAATCATAATTTTTTCTTTTCTTCATTTATTTCGTTAGCTTGATTTATGTTTGTTTCAAATCGAATTGTAGGATCGATTTTCTTTGTATCGTACAGTACAAGTACAGTACAAATTATTACAGTATGCATTGATAGTATCCACAGCATAAGGAACTGAGTAAAATAATACATTCAATACATTGAATATTAGTGAAAATAATAGGTCTACTATTACCTAGGTCTGTAGATTATTTCCGTAATTACATAGTAACGTTATGTAATGTTACATTATAGTATATATAATAATAAAACAATTGATTGTATACTGTAAGTTTTAGCGTATATAATGTTGGCTATTATGTGTATACAAACCAAAAGCAATTTTCCTTAACAGCTGATTAGCGAGTCACCTACTCG